ACGCGTTAAATTACTCGTTTACTAAAAATTAATCAAATTACAGTAACGCGTTACTAAGTAATGCGTTACTGCCCAACACTGCTAAAGTATAAATGTGCAACTACAGCCACCAGTGTGGCAAGTTACTCAGTCATTCATTTAAAGATTTGTTCAGACGCCACTGCCGATAAATGATGATCAGTACCAGCAGATGAATATATAAAGCCATTAAACACAATGAACTGGAGAGAGGAAAAACGTGCTTACCCGCAGCAGCGTCAGCCATTTTCTGCTGAACTATAGGTGCACATGGACAAAATAACGATAACGTCTGCAATGTATTAAACACTAGAGGGCACCAAATCACCATTTGATTTAGTTCACCCTTATAAGGCCCTTTCGCACCGCTTTAGTTCCAGAACTAAATGTACGGTACTAAAGTACTGGGACGATTTTGCGCGAACTATTTCCCAGTACCATTTAAAGGGTTGCATTCGCACCGAGAGTGTGTACTAAGAAGTGACGTAAGCCGGTCGACAGCGTCGTCATTTGTGCGCGGCGTTCAACAACAGAAACAAAGAAGAACAACATTAACAACAGGAGGATGGAGGACGCTGTGTTCGGAGCTGTGTGTTTGTTGTGTCTCGCGGGTTTCACAATAATGGACATGGAAAGTCGACGTATACGTAAAGCGACTGAAAGAACGGAAAGGAGGACTAAGAATCTCCAACGACAACTGGCAGTGCTACATTTGCTACAAGTGCCTGCACTTCAGCGTCCGTCCATCTATCGCTGTTCTCCATACTTGCGAAATAAGTTGACATGTTTACAGTATGTTTACACAGTGTTTTAAATCATGGCGGGTGAGGGCGTTTTCGTACGCGTTTGGCCAATCAGTGTCTACTTCCGTCACGATTAGTACCAGTTGTGCTATTTAGACCCTGCTCCGGAGTAGGAGCTAATTTGGTTCTCGAAAAAGGCAGTCCGGTACTAAAATCGCTCCCAGTTCCGGCGGTGCGAACACGCCGAAAAGTGGGTAGTTCCACAATTAGTTCTGGTACTATGAAAAGGTTCCTGCAGTGCGAAAGGCCCTATAATTTCATGTAATTCAACCCAATGACTATTGTTAGTATTAATGCTCTTTTTAACTCTGTTACAAGTGCTGTTAGTTGTCAAAGATGGGCAAAGACAGTTTATGTTTCGCAAATTAAAATTGACTGAATGGATAATATATAACTCTTTCCCCTCCAGCGTTTTGGAAAAAATTTGCCAGCCACTGTCAGCTTTTTTTTTTATTATTATCATTTTCGCTAAAATTTTGAGGCCTCCAGAATATTTTGTTGTATGAATATCTGAACATGCAATACATCAAACTAAAGAACAGAACCTCTTCTTAAAAAATAAATGAATAAATACTATTCTAGCTTCAAGCATTATTTCAGTTTTCATTTATATTCATTCATTGTTGATGATCACGTTATTTTTCATTTGCATTTTCTTACATATGAGATTGCTCGTTTCTGCATCTTCCTCGTCTGTGTTTGTTTTGTTTTTTTGATCAGGAGATTCTGGACTCATTCAGGAGATGCGCAATAGTGCCCCCAAGCCTATAACAGTAAAAACATGGAAACACGGAAAATTCTGTGTTTGGCGGGAAAGCGTTGTCTCATAAATAATGGAACATTCTGTGTTTGGTGGGGACAGAGTTGATATGACTTTCAAATGATAAGTTGCTATCAAGGACAACATCCAGACTTTTTACCTGAGAAAATAGTCACAGACGAACGATTAGATTTAGCCAGATTAGACTTTGTACCTACAAGAAGAATTTCAGTTTTGTCAATGTTAAGTCTAAAGAAATTAGAAGAGAACCAATTTTTAATTTCAGTTAAACAGCTTGACAGAGAAAGCAAAGTAAAAAACATATTAGGCATGGAAGACAGGTAAACCTGGGTGTAGTCAGCATATTAATGGAAATTAATTCTAAACTTTCTAAAGATTTGTCCAAGAGGCAGTAAAATAAAGAAAAAAAGGCCCCAAGACTGAGCTTTGGGGAACACCATCAGTAACATGTGATAGCTCAGATCTGAAGTTTTTAAGTTGTACAAACTGAGTGCAACTAGAAAGTTATGATCTAAACCAAGACAGACAGGTGCTGTAAATCCTAGGGAGACCAGCCTGTTTAAAGACAGAATTTTTATTTTTGGGGGAACTGTCCCTTTAACTTGTTTTTTCTTCTTCTTAAGAAACTAAGAAAATGTTACATTATGATGCACTTACACAATATACTTTTCTCATATTTTAACTGTACACTATGTTTATAACAGTAGGCTAACAAGGCTTAGAAAATGTACACTCAAAACATTAAACATTTTAGTGCACAAACATCTCCAATAAGACGAAAAAATGCATCTGAAGCGTCAAGCAGCCCCTGCTGGATGAACCGTCGAGAAGAGAAACATTCACAGACCGTGCTGACGCGCTTCCACTGCTATTAACATCCTACATCTGTCAAAGTTTGTAATACAGCTTCTGAGGGAGTGACAGTAAATTTGACATCTTTTTCTCTTCTGACGGCTGAAATCCTTCTCATCTTATTTTTTTTATTTTTATTTATTCTTTAGGAAAGTTGTGGTAATGCTATCATGGAGTCAAGTAGTCATTATGCTCTTGTTGTGTCCTAAGATAAACTACTGTACTGGAAATTACTTATTGGAGTGATAAGTAGGTGTCACTGTGTGACTACTGTGCAGACAAACAGAAAAATCAACAACAACAAAACATGATATATTAATTAACCCAGTGTGAACAAAGCAATCTTTGGTAATATGCTATATTTATTATTCAGGATCACAAACATATCAAAAATCACTTAGAGAAAATGAATAAATGACAAAACAAATATATGCGATTTTTCTTTTCGAGTATTGTAAAAGTGTAAAAGTGAGATGCAGTTATTATGATCAGAACATGATTTGTGAGGAAACCGAATCACAGAGAGTTTGATCATTGTTCTGTGGTGAAACACGTATAAATCACCTCCGTCACGACAGATTCCTGTAACACAAACACAAATGAATGAAATTATTCATATTAAATGATTGACAGAAGTTAGCCTCAAATTCATCATTGGGATGAGCTGAAACAAGCTATGGTTAGGGTGAGTGATGTCCTTAATGATATTATTCGCCCTTCTCAAACAGCGGGTTTTATAAAGGTGATCAAGTGATGTCAACGTCAACGTCCAATGTCAACGTCAAAAATAAATGTAAATGTCATTGAAACGACACAGAGACTCTTACCTTCATCAGTCCAGTGTGTTTGTAGAGTTTTACAGCAGCTTGAGTCTAGACTTCATGAACTGTAATGACAAACATGTTCATCAAAACATGGAGAATATTGCTGATTCACAAATAAGACTCATTGTTTTTACAGATGTGTGAGCTGTAGATTCACTCGACCTGTGTCTCTGTGTTTCCTGCAGGTACAAAACATCCCAATTACAGCCACAATGCAGCAGCAGAGATCAGCACTAGGCTAGTATCAGAGATACTGAGACTGGAGGACGTGAAGCAGAAGGAGCTATAGTCTTAGACGGAGTCTGTGGCTCTGGTGTTATAACAGCTAAAGATGACAGTCAGTCATTATTGTGAATGAATGTTTCAGTCTGAACTACAACAAAAGATAGAGATCAGCTCAGTAAATAAACATATTTAAGGAGCTGGAAAACATGAGAGAATAACAGTAAGATTTAAAATAGATTCATATTTAACAAGATTACAATGTCAAAACAGTGAATTAATAACTATTGAACAGACATTTAGAAGTTTATTTTAAAATGCAAAGTGTTCAAAATCAAAATAAAGCTCTGTAAAGACTTGCATTTTTGCAACACTATATGTTGTAAGTGTGTCCAATCAAGTAATGGAAAGTTTTACACACACTTGTAATCTTCACGCTCACTTATGCCTAATACAGGAAACACATCATGTAAGTAGACAAGTGCTCAAGTACAAAGACCAAGAGTGTGGGTATTTGGACAGGCCTTCTGTTTCGGTTGCGCTTCGGCTCTGCTTCTCTGCGCAGATGAATGAGATTCGAGACACTGGCACAGATACAGGACAACTTGTCAGAACAGATGGACACATAAATAACAGGTGAATAATCTCTGATGATTCCCCGGGGTTTGCCTTTTTGAATGATGCATGGTTGATTTCTCCTGTTCATAGTTATTATCAGAAAATGTTACTGTAGCTTTAACTCAACTAACGCCTGTTTTTTTTTTTTACACACTTCTAGTGTCAACATGTTCATGCTGTTTGCACGTCGTTCACTCAGACTCCACAAGTGGTATATATAGAGCGAGCATGAAGGATGTGTAAAAATACTTCATCTGTCACCGATGATGATGTGATATCGGAGACTTTCGTCTTTGCACTGACCACTTTTATAATTGTATGACCTTCCATATTAAGTGAATGAGAATGTGTTTAGAGTTTTGCAAAAAGTGTGCATGAGATTAGCAAATAGAGCCTAACTGCCTGAACGTGTTTAAGGTTTAGCAGAAAGAGTGCTTTATTCGACAAATTGGTTTAAGCTAGTGAGAATTTGGTTCAGAGATTGGGGTTTAGTGTTTTAGCAATTCAGAAAAACTGTAAATGTAATAAAACACGGAGAGACTCTTGAACTTCAGAGTGAGAAAAGTTTACTGATAAAGGCAAGCAAATACAGATGATAAACGGACAGAAAAGTGAGATCTGTGTGTATTATCTGACAGACAGGGGCGTCAGACTGGGGGTAAAACCAGTACTGATTACCAGGGCCCCAAAGGAAGAGAGGGATTAAAAAACTAAAATAGTATGGGGGGGAGGGCATGGGGGCCCATCAGGACTGCCTATGCATAGGGCCCGGGACCTTGTGCAACGCCCCTGCTGACAGATATATAAATGTCTGTCAGATAATTCTGTACAATAATAAAACTGAAAGACAGGTACATTTTTAAAAGCCACTAAACCCCCAAATCAAACATGAAAGATCACTGATGTGACCTCTGATGTGTGAATCTGTGCTTGATCTTTATCAGCTCTTCTGGATCTGATGTCATAAACCAGAAGAATGACAGTAGCCACGCCCACCAGAGCAGAGAGTTGACAGAGTTGACTGATGTCCAGATGTGTGGTCTGGTTGCTGATGGGATTGTTGAGCACACAGCTGTAGCTGTTTTTATCCTGATATTCCACCTCCAGAGGTAGAGAGAGACTGATGCTGAGATCAGACACACTGATGCTGGACAATAAACTGTTTCCTTTGTACCAGGAGAGAGTCACATGACTCACATTCACCACTGAACACACCAATGAACAAGATGATGATGAAGATGATGATGATGAAGAACAGTCTCTGCTGATGACAGGAACAGGCAGACGAGCTGGAAAGCATGAGAGAATAAAGATAAATGAGGATAAATGAAGATATTCAAGTTTAAGCTTGAAAAATTGTGAGGAACCAAAAGTAGAGCATTTAAAACAACCTGATATAGAAGTAAAAAAATTAAGCTGAATGTTATAAATGTAAAATTTAGGTTTATTAGTCATTTTAAGAACAAAACATCTAAGTGATAAAATATGTCTTTAGATCTACTTGAATACAACAGACAGATGAAACTGATATTTAACTCACTGTAGACAGTGAGATTGAAACTCTTGGCCACAGAGTTGTTCATTTGTTGATAAATGCCACTGTCCAAACACATCTGAAGAAAATTTTTTCACCAGAAAAGAAACAGCTGATACCATAAAAAAAACCCACACATTTCAAACTCACCAACCAGACACCACTAACACACGAGAAACATTTTCTGTGTGCAATATTTCGATTTTGGTTTCGATTTTGTTAACAATTTTAATCATTTAAAATTATTAAAATAATTATTTAGCATTTATTATTTAAAATAATGAAATGTATTATTTGCTGCCATGGACAAATAACTCCTGAAACTTTTCATAATCTGTGTGGTGGAAGAAATTAACATAAATATTGCATTGGATTAACATTAGATATTGCATTTCGAGACATTTTGACTCGAAAACCAGTGAATCACATTTATAATGCTTGCTTGTGTGTGTTGTTACAACGAAATTCATCAGCAAATGTTAAATGACCTGTAAATGTGGTTGTTAATTCAGAGAAATTAGTTTGCTGAGAGATTTGGTGTTTGGAAAACAACTCTTTCTAAGTAGAAACTCGAGACTATAGTCTTAAAAATAAAGGTGCTTCACGATGCTATAGAAGAACCTTTTTGTCTAAATGGTTCCATAAAGAACCTTTCTGTTTCACAAAAGCTTCTTTGTGACAAAAGCAGGTTCTTCAGATTATAAAAACGCAAGAAAGAGATGGTTCTTTAAAGAACCTTTGACCGAATGGTTCTTTGTGGAACCAAAAATGGTTCTTCTATGGCATCGCTTGAAGAACCTTTTGAAGCACCTTTATTTTTAAGAGTGTAGTTGAAACACATGAGTTTACCTTGGGCTTTTCTTCTGAGAAACAGAATTGTAGAGGCCTGGATCATTGTTTTCTGAAATTCAAGTGAAGTGATAATGAGCTTACACAATCATTCTCATATTTTTACTATGCACTATGTATATAACAGTAACAAGGGTTTGAAAAAAATACACTCAAAACATTCAACATTTTAGTCTCCAATAAGACAAAAACCCCAAAAAAAAAACCAAAAAAACAAAACAAACCAAAAAAATCCTGTGAAGTGCCCAGCGCATCCTGCTGGATGAACCATCGAGAGGAGAAACATTCACAGACTGTGATGAAAAGTCATGGAAATGCTATTGTGGATTTGTTTTGTTTTGCTGTTGGATCAAGTGAAAATCCAAAAACGCTACTTGCTGTATCTCAATCTATGATGACTTCTGCTGAACTGAGAACTGCGTGTGAAAGCGTCCATGGGTAAACGAACTCATTAATGTACATTAATACACAGTGTATTAACAAAAACCATGTTTTTAGCTGAATATGTGGTTTACTCCAGAAAATCTTGCATTATCCCACTTATTACACGGCTGCTTGCCACAAAAGTAAGTAATTAGACACGAAACATTGATCTGAGTTGAAATATTTTAACGCATAGCTCCTGTGAAGAAAGCAGTTGCTAGCAAGCAGCAAGTTCAAAAGATGGACATATAAGGGATACGGTGCAGTCATACCACTTATTACACAACATTTCATAAAATATATTGATTTAAGATGAAACTGTTTTAAAATCGTACCGGTTTGTGTCTTTTAATCCATTACAGTGTACAAAATTGTTGCAAAATGGCATCAGCTGCGTTTGTATGAAGAGAGCGAGTCCAGGATGACATAATTAAATAATTAAACACATAATATTGATTTGAGTTTTAATACTTTATTAGCCTACCATACGCAAAGCTTCCACCAAGAACATTTTTTCCCAGCAAGTGAATAGTGGCGACTGCAGTTACCCGGATGAGCCTGTGTTATTAGTTTTTACCAGTTGTTATTGGGGATTATACCACGGGGCCGTTGAATGCTTGAATCTGATTGGCTGACGAACGTTCTGAGGTGTGTAATTATTTTCAGGGAAACGCATGGCAAACGTAGTTCCAGGCAGCTCTCTTGACCGCATTACAGTCCCATATCACTTCGCATAGTTAACTGTAATAACGGAAATTAGCATACAGTACCTATACAGCACACAGGAATTACTGTAATCACACGTGCTCGCACACGCACACTACGGTCACGCAGTTTGCACAAAAAGGTGTTGTCAGCGCTGCCCTCATGATTTTATCAGTTAGCCTATATAGTGTAGCAACTTAAAGGCTACACATGACCGCTTTAGAGACGCTGCTGCAGAACACTGTTGAGGGACACACAGAGGTAGCCTAATTCACACAAGCTCTCTCTCTCTTTAATTGACTCCGGGCCGTTGAATTATTAGAAAAATAATGCACACCCGAGGTGTAACAGCCACGATGCGAATCACCACCTCAGGTGTGCATTATTTATCTAATAATTCAACGGCCCGGAGTCAATTATTCCTTACATGACATACTTTGGAATGTGGTGACTGACCGATCAGAATTGAGTATTCCACAGAGCCGTGTAATAAACGTTAATATCAGCGCTGAGCTGATCTCAATTTCATGTTTTTATTCCTCAGACTGTCCATTATAAATAAAAGTAAACCCAATATTAAACTCACCGTTGACAGTGAGACTGAAACTCTTGCTCACACTGTTGATCTGTAGTTTATAACGTCCAGCATCTTCAGTTGTGGTGTTTGTGATGGTCAGAGATCCAGTTTGATTGTCCTGCTTGTGTCTGAATTGATTATTTACAGTGATGTCGTCAGCCTGTTGATTGATTTCAGCTATTAAAGAGCTTTTATGCCCAAACCACCACTGAATTTGATCACCCTCCACTATTTCAGGAAGACCAGAGTTTAGAGTGACTGAATCTCCCTCCAGCACTGATATTTCATCTGTATCACCAAATACACACGGAAAACAAACAGAAAGAGGGTGTCACAGATTAAATAACTTAATGATTGTTTACAAAAGTAAATAGTTTGGAATTTAAATTTGAAATGAACAATACATAAAAGGACAGAAAGAAGAAAAATGGTGCATGGATTAATCATTTAATTTTTGTCATTCAAAACAGATGAAACAAATATTTAACCCACCATAGACAATGAGAGTAAAATAATTTCTCACACTGTTGATCTGTAGTTTATAACGTCCAGCCTGTCTAATTCTGGTGTTTGTAATGGTCAGAGATCCAGTTTGATTGTCCAGCTTCAGTCTGTCTCTGAATCTCCCATAAAGAACATCATCATATACAGTCATGCTGTCGGCCCGTTTATTGATTTCAGCTATTAAAATGTTTCCATTTCCAAACCTCCACTGAATCACATCATCATCCATCATTTCAGTAAGATCAGAGTTTAGCGTGACTGAATCTCCCTCCTTCACTGACTTCACTTCGCTCGCACCAAACACACCTGAAGAACAGAATTTTTCACAGATTAATTATACTTTAATGTAATTATAATGTGCTGGTTTACTAAAGCCATCACTAACACTAGATCTAGTTTAAAGTATTTGAATAATGTTCTTCAGTGGTACAGAGACAAAAAAGAAAGGAGAAATTGATACACTTTTATATCAGTAACTTGATCTGTGTGGTGTTTAAGATATTTTGTGTAACAAACAAAAACTCTTATGGTTGGGAAACATATGACTGATGAAGCACGAACAACAATATTATAAAGACAATATAGACATTTTTGCTTCCGACAACTAAAATGAATGCTGCAGCATTGGAGTTTCAAACTGCAAAAAACAGGCTGGATGAATCTATAATGCACCACACTGAATAGAGCTGAATTCAAACGTGTTCTCACAGTAAAAACACATTTCAGTTATTTCTATATGAGAATAACAGTGAATGTTAATCCTCTCTAACTAATTTAACCAGTAATTTATTACATGCTACCTGAACAGAAAAAAAAATTAAGCAATAAAAGCACATTTCAAACTCACCAAGATGCCACACACACAACAAAACACATTTGAGAAACATTTTCTTCTTCAGTTCACTGAAAACCCCCTGATAGTGACACGTAAAATGTCTGAAAACACTCATAACTGAACTGTCATATTTATTTGGTTGAATCCTCCCCCAACCTCAGTTTCCATTCACACGTTTGTCTCCTTTAACTTCATGAAGATCAGCAAGCTTTTAATGATCTTACATTTTCAACTGATGCATTATAAGAGTAATGTTTGATTTCATAATTGACTGTTAATTAATTCATTTTATTTAACTGTGGAGAAGGCTTGTATGGAGCAGAAGTCAAAAAGTTTGGTTCATATTAGCAGTAGAGAAAATGAAGAAACGCTCCAGCCACAAACCACTGACCTAATTTATCTAATAATAGACACATTAATGCAGAAGCTGTTTGTCCACCAACAGATCAAACCACATTAGATGTATATAAATCAAACCACAGCAGGTTTAACTGTGACTTACAAACTGAGCTGCTCACACTTCTTTAAGTGAATAACCATTAGCATGTATGCCAGTATTGCTACAACAAACAGTAAAAGTTAAAAGAACAGTAGCCTGTAAATCTGATTTACTCAGCTGAAACAAAATAAGTATTTTGATGTGTTATTTTGTCTTGGGTAAATTTTATGAGAAATGTTTGAGTTCTGTATTTTGATTGCAGACTTTAGTATTTTGGCAAATCTGTAATTAAACATGTGAGACACATGAGTTTTACCTTGGTCTTTTCTTCTGGAGAAAAGTCTCCATGTAACCATGGTTCCCCGAGGGAAAAAGTCGCTGATTCGAAAGTGCTATGGGAACGCCTTCAGTGTGACCACACTCTAAATCACGTGTGTAATCAGTCCAATGGATGAGAGAGACGTCACAGGTGGGTTGACGTCCATTGGACACATACAGTTAAGCTTCTGTTGGTCAGGCTCCCGAAAGGGAGGAGGACAGAAGGCCTGCAGTACGATGGGCCGTGGTGCAGAAGAAGGAACTTTAGGTACATAACCCGATCGAGGGTAGAGAACGACTTTGGCCAAGCCTGGCACAAAGTCAAGATCGGAAGTGGCAACTGACAGGGCCTGCAAACCACCAACTCTCTTTAGAGAAGAAATCGCCAGAAGGAAGGTAGTCTTTATAGTGAGATGCTGATCAGATATCTCCTCTTTAGGTTCAAAAGGTGGTTTACATAAAGCCTCTAGTACCACAGCCAAGTCCCAGGGAGGGACACAAGATCGTACCAGAGGCCTCAGTGCACCGCGGAGGAAACGTGTAACCAGGGGGTGTCTGCCCACTGACTGACCACCAAGAGGGATGTGGTAGGCCGCAATGGCCGCCACGTAGACCTTCAAAGTGGAGTGGGTAAACCCTGCAGAAAGACGGGCCTGTAGGAACTCCAGCACTGTACCAACCGGGCAGTTAACTGGGTTGAGCTGGCGGTCTCCACACCAAGAAGTGAAAAGTTCCCACTTCAAGGCATACAGTTTCCTCGTTGAAGGAGATCTGGATTGGAGGATGGTTTCAACAACCTCAGTTGAGAGACCGGAGGCTATGAGATGTGCCCCCTCCGGGGCCACACCCACAGCTTCCACAATTCCGGACGGGGATGAAAGATGGTGCCCACAAGCGCTACTCTACACTGCTCAAAACTCGCGTTTGAATCATCAGTGGCAAATTCTTTAAATATGAAATCTTACTTACAGGCTGTGAGTCAGCATTATTTGTCAGAACACCGCATTGTAGGCTACTCTCCCAGGAAACAGTCCCTGTCCTTCATAAAATGCGCTGCACACATCTGAATATTTGGGTTGAACTGTTCTGGAACAGTGTTGTAAATACAACTTAACCACTGATTTCTAGTTGTGTCCTCTTTTGGATGGCCAAACAAAGTAGTTTCGCTTTCACAATGAAACACACAGCGTCACACACGGCAGGCTTGAGAACGGCGTGGCCGGCGGGCTTGCGGCAACCACATGTGATGACCCCGGGCTGGTCTCCGCTTCGTCCACGGTGAAAGCCGATCCGGCGATCCACAGCGCGAAGTTGATGTATTTCCTCAGCGACCAGCACGGATCAACTATAGGCATGACAAAGCGTATCTCATCCTCTTTTGGAAGGCCAAACAAAGTAGTTTCGCTTTCACAACAAAACACACGGCAACAACAATACTACAGCGAGAATCAAAGTTACACATACAGTTAAGCTTCTGTTGGTCAGGCTCCCGAAAGGGAGGAGGACAGAAGGCCTGCAGTACGATGGGCCGTGGTGCAGAAGAAGGAACTTTAGGTACATAACCCGATCGAGGGTAGAGAACGACTTTGGCCAAGCCTGGCACAAAGTCAAGATCGGAAGTGGCAACTGACAGGGCCTGCAAACCACCAACTCTCTTTAGAGAAGAAATCGCCAGAAGGAAGGTAGTCTTTATAGTGAGATGCTGATCAGATATCTCCTCTTTAGGTTCAAAAGGTGGTTTACATAAAGCCTCTAGTACCACAGCCAAGTCCCAGGGAGGGACACAAGATCGTACCAGAGGCCTCAGTGCACCGCGGAGGAAACGTGTAACCAGGGGGTGTCTGCCCACTGACTGACCACCAAGAGGGATGTGGTAGGCCGCAATGGCCGCCACGTAGACCTTCAAAGTGGAGTGGGTAAACCCTGCAGAAAGACGGGCCTGTAGGAACTCCAGCACTGTACCAACCGGGCAGTTAACTGGGTTGAGCTGGCGGTCTCCACACCAAGAAGTGAAAAGTTCCCACTTCAAGGCATACAGTTTCCTCGTTGAAGGAGATCTGGATTGGAGGATGGTTTCAACAACCTCAGTTGAGAGACCGGAGGCTATGAGATGTGCCCCCTCCGGGGCCACACCCACAGCTTCCACAATTCCGGACGGGGATGAAAGATGGTGCCCACAAGCGCTACTCTACACTGCTCAAAACTCGCGTTTGAATCATCAGTGGCAAATTCTTTAAATATGAAATCTTACTTACAGGCTGTGAGTCAGCATTATTTGTCAGAACACCGCATTGTAGGCTACTCTCCCAGGAAACAGTCCCTGTCCTTCATAAAATGCGCTGCACACATCTGAATATTTGGGTTGAACTGTTCTGGAACAGTGTTGTAAATACAACTTAACCACTGATTTCTAGTTGTGTCCTCTTTTGGATGGCCAAACAAAGTAGTTTCGCTTTCACAATGAAACACACAGCGTCACACACGGCAGGCTTGAGAACGGCGTGGCCCGCGGGCTTGCGGCAACCACATGTGATGACCCCGGGCTGGTCTCCGCTTCGTCCACGGTGAAAGCCGATCCGGCGATCCACAGCGCGAAGTTGATGTATTTCCTCAGCGACCAGCACGGATCAACTATAGGCATGACAAAGCGTATCTCATCCTCTTTTGGAAGGCCAAACAAAGTAGTTTCGCTTTCACAACAAAACACACGGCAACAACAATACTACAGCGAGAATCAAAGTTACGCCTTATTTCTTTGGGTGAACATTTGGGAGGTTTTAAACAAATCTTCCCACATCGTGACGTAGACATGTGGGGACGTTTTAGAATGAGCCATTTTAGGTAGGCGTGGTTGACTCAACTGTTATAAAGAATATCTCTTTGGATTTGAGACTTTAATCTTTGCAACTTTACAGATCTTACAACACTCCAAAGAGAAAGGAAAATTTTAAATTGCATCATATGACCCTTTAAACAAGGCATGGAGGGCATGGACGAGTCTTAACTTTTATAAAGAATATCTTTTTGGGTTTGAGACTTTAGTCTTTGCAACTTAAGGGATTTTATCTATTCACGAACAGCTTGTAACACTCCAAAGAGAAAGGAAAATTTTAAATTGCATCATATGACCCTTTAAACAAGGCATGGAGGGCATGGACGAGTCTTAACTTTTATAAAGAATATCTTTTTGGGTTTGAGACTTTAGTCTTTGCAACTTAAGGGATTTTATCTATTCACGAACAGCTTGTAACACTCCAAAGAGAAAGGAAAATGTCTCAGGTTACGCATGTAACCATGGTTTCCTGAGAACAGGGAACGAGATGCTGCGTCCTCTAGAGGGTGCTAGGGGAACGCCTTCAGCGTGACTGGTGTCTGAAGCATGAATGAAAAAACAACAATGAACTTGACATTGGCAGGCGGCAGCCTATGACGTAAACAATAAAGCGATTGCGGGTATATAAGGAGCACCTGCGGAAAACATCATCCACTTTTTTGTCTGAAGGAGACGCAGGCAGGAATGCCCGAAGCATGGCAATGAGACGCAGCGTCTCGTTCCCTGTTCTCAGGGAACCATGGTTACATGCGTAACCTGAGACGTTACCTTTCGAAAGGGAACTCAACGCTGTGTCCTCTAGAGGGC